ACAATAATAAAGAAGCTTGTAACAGGAATACAAACAGGAAAAAAAAAAAAAGCAAGCAAAAAGTTACCTGGTGATTGAGGAATACTCATGGTTAGGAAGAAAGGACATTGCGAAAGAGAAGCATTGGGGAGATGGATTCCAGTTAGAAATATCAACTATCCACCTCTGAACACCCTTTTCCAGTTCTATTTCCATTTCCCTGTAACATCAGAGAAGAAAAATATTCATTCGAGCATAACCAATAGAGACGAAACTTGGACTTGTTCTTGTTTCTGCCGACCGATGAACTTTCTAATTGATAACTCACTTGGCCACGTCTCATCCACTCTAGATTTTACTTGAACCAGTTCCATCTCGGAATTATAAAATTTGAAATTGAACCTAATATTTGAGATAATTCAATGGTGCGGTTTGATTTACATAGATTTGGACCAGTGGATTTGGGTGAATTTCAATTCAACTCGACCTACTCTAACTTTTAAACCAAACCCAAACTGATATGATTTGGTTTGGTTCGATTAGTCAATTTTTAGTTTTAGTCCAAGTTGAATTCATTAAAAAAAAAAATTTGTCCCAATTTGGGAAGCACTTAGGTTATAAGAACTAATATAACTATATAATTTTATATTACACGAATTATTAACTAACAAATAAAATCAAACTAATAGACACAAATCAACAGAAAAATTAAGAATTTTGTTGTTTTTTATGCATTATGTAGCCTAACTATCTAAATGGGAGAAAAAAAAAAAAGGCTCAGTAGGTTGTGAAAGGAAGCTCAAAGTGCTATTATTTACTTACAACATCGTAGATTGAAGGAAATCGAAATATAATTATGACATTAGAGCTTATCTTTTGATATCTATTTTTCCTTTTTAAAAAAGGGTAAATGCGTAAGTTTGGTGGTTCGATTAACCAGCGGTTTAAAACTTCGAACTGTAGTTGAATCGATTCACCATAGTTTTGTAAAAAGGAAAATCAAAACAAAACCAATTACCTATGTCAAATCAACTCGAGCCGGTTTGATTTGATTGATTTGATCGGTTTTTTTATTTTTTTTGTCCGACCTATTATCTAGATTTAAAGTAATTGAACATTTTAAATGTGACTTATCATTTAATGACATTTTGGTCTGTTTAAAATAGTTAAATAGACCAAAATATCCATAATAGAAAGTAACAAGTAACAAATACTAAGCTCCTGTTTGGTACACATTAAAATTTTCATTTTCATTCTTCTACTCATTTTCAACCACACATTCTTCAATAAAATAATATTTTTCATTACATCAGTAACTTTTTCTTCTTTTTCAACCACAAATTCTCCATCAATCTATT